TAAGTTGTCCCAGGGCACCCGTGCAGGTTCTGGAGCCACGAATCTCGGGAATGGGGCCCCCAGGAGATGCTGCTGCAGGTGTTTGCTGGATCCGAGCTAATCCAGGCCTGCGACCGCCACGGGAGCTGCTGGTCCCCRTGGTGGCCCTGCGGCCACGCGGGCCCTGGGCCAGGCCCAGCCTCCAGCTACTGCAGGTTTCCCCTCGAGCAACCCGGGCTTGGACCAGGCCCAGCTTTGCAGCTGTAAGGGCAGGGGAAGCTCAGACAGGAGCAGAGCGGATACCCTGACAAGCAGATACCCACGGAGGTGAGAAGCCCGTGGTTGCTTCACTGGGTTTCTCCAGGAGCTTCTGCTCCGTCTTGCAGACGGCGCCTGCAGATGAAAGGCTGAAGTCTCCAGATCCCTTTTTGGGGGGTTKCAGCAGCGCTGGGTGGTACCCAAAGCAGCCCCAGCCCAGCCTGCAAGAGGCGCTTTGAGGAGCAGCGTTTTAAGGAAAGGGAGAGAATTACCTGCTAATGAGCTGGTGCTGCTCTGGAGCCAGGGCCGTCCCCTTTGTTGATGGTTTTATCACCTCGTTGCACTGAGACCGGGGTGGAGCTTTTCGTCTCATATTTTGGCAACTCCGGCTTCCCATTAAATCATTAGCTCTGCAGGGCTCCCTGGCTCCGCGCTGGTGGTAGTTCCCCCCCACGCGCTTTAAGAAGAATTACAGCCTGCTGAGTGATTTTGCTCCATCGGAGCAAACTGCCTTTCCTGACCTAAGATCCAATAAAACAGAAGAGTTCTATTTTTTTTTCCCAATTCATAGTGCAAAGCACGTGATTTTTTTGTGTTATTTCCACTTACATTTGAAATATGTAGGGCTAAATGCACACGCCTCGTTTGAGGGCTAGAATTATTTCCATAAGTGCTTTGGACTGTGCTGCCCATGCTACTTTGTAGAGGAGAAATAAAAAGATTTCTTCAGTYTGTGTGAGCCCGTGCATCCCCTCTGCAGGCACAGACTCAGCTGCAGTGGGCAGATATGTTCGGAGCAGTAATTCACAGTAAATGCAGCCTCTAAGTGGCTGGTGTGATGGAGCTCGATGCCCTCAGCCAGGTTTGGGTGCCCAGCGGCTAAATCAGCCAGGGCCACAAAAACTGCGTGTTTCAGGTATTTGAAAGGCAAAAGCCTTTTGGATTTTGCACTATAGCTGGTGTTCCTGGCTTGAGGGTAGGACACAAATTAAACCCGGGTTTCTCCGAGTCCGAGGCACCCCACGCCTGCCCGGTGGGATGAGATTGCAGGTGAAGGGCTGCAGAAACGCAGGGCAAGTTTCCCCGCTCCATTTCACCCGAGCGTCCTCCCTTCCACCCGGCCAAGCTCTGCACCCTGGAGCTTCGCCGCCTCTCGCAACGAGAGCACCCGCAGCAGCGCTTGATTGTATGAACATTTACAGTCCCAGGGATGGCCTGAATTCCAAAAGAAAGAGGCATTTCTAAGGAATCGTATTCTAGGAATCCTTGTTCCAGAAGGTTCCTGAATTGCCAGTCCGTGGGAATTGCAGTCTGCTCCATCGGAGGGGCCGTCCTAGSGCACAGAGATGCTGTCCGGAGGTCAGTGCACCCGCAGGACCCTTGTGCATTCGCTAGGGCACTTATATGATGATGATAAAGCGCTGGGAAACCACTGGTGGAGAGGCAAGAAAAAGCAACGGACTGAGAGGAAAAGAGCAGGGATCACTTTAACAGCCCCTGTTTCCAAAACTGTTCCCTTCCTTYTGCTGTTTCCAGGGTAAATTACCTAAATCTCATTAAACGCGTCTTGCTGCCGGGCCGGGTGCTGGCTGGGGACAAAGCCGGCTCCGAGCGGCGCGTCCGCCCGGCTCCGCGGGGCCGCCTGGACCCGCCGCCCTGGGGCCTTTCCCGGGGCAAAATCGGAGCTAACTTGGGCATTAGGCCGAGCCTCGGAATTAGGCCTCRTTTTGCAAGGACGGGCAAACCTGCCTGCTGTTAAACCCTGCTCCCCGGCTCCATGCAGGAGAGGTGCCCCGGGAGCCCAACCTGCTGCGCAGATGCTGCTAACTGGGTCGGGCTGTATCCCAGCTCAGCTCCCGAGCCGGGATGAAGGCATTCCCTTCTGCATTCCCTTCCTTTGCTCCTTCTGCAAGCATGGACCCAAATCTGCACGTTTTCAGTCCTAAATACTAGGTTCCCAGCGGTGCAGCAGTGGTAGCAGCCACCCAGCAAGGCTTTCAGACCAGTACCAGTGATGAGGATGTGCCCRGCACTGGTGGAGACTGGTCCAGGAAGGGTTGTACATGGAAATATGGGGGCTTCTGCCAGCTCTTCTCATCACTTACACCAAAGATTTTGCTTAAAATGAAATTTAAAGTTCAATGGCGCTAGCAACAGCACGAGGAAAGGCACCAGGAAAGGCAAGGAAGTCTTTTCTCCAAACAGCCCCTTGAAGCAAGGAAAGCAGGAAGCAGGATGGGATCCCATTCACAAAAATAACCCCTAATTTGGGGAGGAAAAGTTATATTTAATTATCCTCCTTTCTTGGCTGGAGTTGACCAACTGCGTATCTTCTACTGGCGTTATCAAAGACGCCACCAGCACAAGGGCACATCTAATTTTAAGTGGGCTTTGGTTGGCAGACTTAAAATTGATCGTGCATTTTGGTTTCAGTAATTTGCAATTTCTGCAATCTTTGATAATGCACTTTAAAGAGCAAGCCTTCTTTAATGACAAAGGCTTAAAAGAAATGACCTTTCTGAGCAAAATATCAAAGCTGAGGAAAGACAGTTCCTTGGAAAAAAAAAAAAAAAAATGACCTTGTGTTCTGAAACTTTTTTCATACAATATCTGATGTCTTCCTTTTCCTTTGTACCCTCAGAACGAGACCAAGGATGATTTAGCGGTGTGCGGTGCCTCCAGTACAGTTTGTGATGTGGGAAGGACTCGCAGGGCCTTACGATAATTAAAAAGAGCAGATCCCCTAGACACCCTCTCTGCAGACCGCTCCTCTTCAGAATCAAAGTCCTGTGTGTTTTTCTGGAAATTCATGAGTGTTCAGCACTACGGGACACTACAGCCATCACAGGTATTTTCTTCTGGTTGCAATAAAACGTTTTTTTGTGCAGCCAAAGCCTTTCTGGGGTTGAGGAGGAATGGGCAAGTAGCAGGAGTGGCACCTCTACAATTAACGCCCTGTTGCAGCAGCCGGTGACGGCTGGAAGGGAAGACCTGGGGCCGCTGGATCCCGGTTCTGCCGATTGCCAGGGAAATCAGCACGTTTGTTACACATAACAGCAGCACAGCCAAGTTTCACCTTGATAAGGGGTAACCTCCTTTGATAGCGCCGCACGACGTTCTGTCACGCCGCCGCTTTCTTGTGTGCTTCTACGCAGAATGGAACAAGCGTCTTTCACGGAGCGAAAATCAGTAAAATGATGTTATACAAGAGCAACCCCCCCAGCTCTAACCACATCCAAGGCAGCTCTGCTGGCGCTTGCTTCCTAGGCAGGGAGAGCCAGTACTGGGAATGACAGCGCAAGGCAGGAGCGCTCCCAACCTGCAGACACCCCTAACCTTGCAGCGAAGACTTGACTGCCCTCTCGTTACAGGAAACGATCAGGGGAATGTTAAAATTAATTGTTAAAAATGTTAAAATGTTGATTTGCCGCCCCAGCAAATCAAGAATTTATTTTATTAGGTTTATAGAACTTTAAAAAYGGGCCTCGCGCTATATTTAGTATCAGAGAGAGCTTCCCGTGTTTTAAAACTCCCAGACTGACAAGGACAATTTTCTCAATCTGTCTTTTGATCGCCAGTGGCATCAGGAACCCACGTGGATCAACTGAACAAAACCCAGGCCCGAATCCAGCCAGGAGCTGCGTCCAGGAGAGGCTGCAGGGCTCTGGTTGTCACCTCACCACTTGGGCCACCAGGACAGCGTGCAGAAACGTCAGCAGAGCCGGGAGCCGAGGAGCACAGCCGCCTTATTTCTTTTGTGGGCGATAAGCGAGGTTTCACGTCAGCACCCGCGGTGACGCGGTAAATCACCGTACCTCACGACACAGCACCTGCCTCTGCTGAAGGCCCTGCACCCCCGAGCAAACACGCTGGATTTTACTGCCCACAATTAACCCACCGCATCCCTGCGAATTCCTCCTGCTCCAGCTCCCCGGGCCAGGCTTTGTGGCACCTGCCGCACACCTCCGCGCTTATCAGAGCCGCCACGAACCCTTATCTGCAGGGAGAAGGGTCACTTGTTGATTCAAGGGAGGTGGAAAAGCTTCCTGGTTGCCTCTGTCCTCCCATGGGTGCCCTAGAGCTCCCTGCGGCCTTGGTCCTGCTTCACGTGCCCAGGACACGAGTTCTGGGCCCCGTCTCAAGCCCTCGGGCCGCTCACGGTGACACGACGTGAGCGCGGCCGTCGGGACGGTGCTTAGGAGATAAAAGCTGCTCCCGTGTTCTCCCTGTCTGAATTCACCAATGACYAACTTCCAAATGGACACTCTTGTGCACGGGCAGCCAAGAGAGAAGTCAGCCCCAGGTCTGCGAGGAGCTACCAGAACCAAGCCCCAMGCAGGGGCTTTCAGCTTTGCCTCATCCTCTGCAAAACCTTAGGAATCTGCTTCAGCTGAGCAGGGCTGTTCAGTCAGGAGTCAGGACACGAGTGTGCACAACCAGGGCCAACCCCTGGAACACACCACTGCACCGGGAGCAACGCGCAGGGGCTCCCTCCTGCACCAAACCCAGCCGGGGCACTTGCATCTTTAACCGAAAGCAGGGGCTGCAATTGTCACTAYTGAGGCTTCCATCCTCACTCCAAGATTTTTCCCTGAAATAAGCATCGAATAGTTTCCAAGTAAAACAAAATAAAAGCYAAACAAATCTCTCCAATGCATTATAGGTATTCAAAGGAGTGAAATGCCCAAGCAGTACAATAATGTCAAAACAAAATCGTACAAAATAATATTTTAATATTATGTAAACATATGGACACAAAACAATGTCAAAATATGATAAAGTATCTTGGACAATAATAATAGAAAAATGTAATTTTTCATGTATAAAAGTAAATAGAATGGTATGAGGAACTAATAACAAAATATTAGCAGATGAAGTTTTTGTTTCAGTAAGCAAACTCAACACACAGTAGAGCAAAAGTGTAAGTCTGCAATAAGATAATGATAAAAAACAATGGAAGGAAGATACAACTTAAAAAACGCTGGCACGAGCAATGGACATGTTTTCACGAACTTAATTACATTTTATGTGCTAACAAAACAGCCACTGATCTTTACATTTTAATTTACAAGAGCCAAATCTTCAAACCTATTCAAAGCAGTCTCTTTGACATCGAAGAAATCCAGCAGCTCCCGCAGCTACCTGAAAATTAAGAGAGTCCCGTTAGCCAAATCCTGTTACTCTTCCCAGCCAAATCCTGYTACTCTTCCCAGCAAAACAAATGCAGCAGGCAGGTCTGAGGGCTGGATCTCGGGAACCCGGGTCGGGCTGTGGCTGCAGCGTGGCTCTTGGTCACTCACCCTTGGGCCTGATGCATGGCACACAACAATTTAAACATCTATTTTCCTGAGAAAAGACACTAAGTGGAAAGATCTGAGACAAAAAGCCTCCCTTTGTAACGTTGCTGCTGTTGCTGGGGAGACTTTCGAGACCAGCTTCAAGCTTTGAATTTACCTGAGTTACCTACACTAGGCAGGTCACCAAGCAGCTATGGCACAAGCAACTGCTGCAGTTTCATCTTCCAATTAGCAGTAGCTAATTCTTGTTAACAAATATTTTCAGATGAAGATTTTCAGGCAACTTCTGCACTGTTAACATTTAATACAATTTTATATATTTTTAACAAGTGTTCACATTATTTCTGCAAGCACACATTTTCATTTGCAGAAACCCTCCTGTGAGATCTGCAAATATCAATGAAATGCATAAATACAAGAAGCCYGAGTGACTTTACTGAGTTTCCTGTTACTCACCCATCCATGTGAATCACCCATTCTAAAGGCATGGCAAGTCTTTTTTATTGCCGCAGCACTTGCCATAATTTATATTGGAGGGTGTAAACGTTTGGAAAAGAGAAAAAAAGAAAAGCTCAGGCTCCTGGAGATCCGGTGCTTTGAAGATGCGATCTGGAATATTATGCATTGCATCATTGTTTTCTATCTTAAAAGGAGGTGGCATCACCGCAGAGCTGCAGCTGTGCTCCGAGCCACGGTCTCATCATGAGCAGGGAGGCAAGGCCCAGACTTGCAGTGCACCTGCAGGTTCTCTAATCTCGCTCTCCTAGTCCTGACTAAGCACTGGGAAAATTCTCAGGCGCTTGTTTACTGGAAATAAGGAGCTTTTAAAACTGCAACCGTACTCGAGTGTTTTAATTAAACCATAGAACTTTAGAAACTGGTATGCACAGGTGTGAAACGGTGCGAACTCCTCAGGGATGCTCACGTACCTTCGGGTGCGGTAGGTGTCCAGCTCTTCCTGGAGGACCGATGCTCTCTTCTGCAGAATAGTTACCTGCAAAACACATCTACGTGAGAATGGTGGATCAAATCCTAATTAGTAATTTTGGATGGATTTCATAGCGGGTGACTTTCTTCACACAGAASCCCCTTGGCTGCATGGACAGTTGCTCGCACGGCTTCCCTGGTTGGTGTGCCCTGCTGCCCACTATCCAGGTAGTCAAAGTGGTTTCAAGTCCAACTTGAGTTAACATATGGACTGTAAAACAGTTTGGGAACCCAAGCTCTACTCTCAAACCCAATATAAAGACAGTCCTTCGCTCCCTGCGCCTTTGTGATGAGCATACTCACCTGTCCTGGAAGGCTGTGAAAATTCAGGTTTATTAACACGGTGCAGCCACTTGTGGACAGCTCACCCAGAGCACCCAGCTGGGCAGCGTGCTTTGTATCCAGCAGCATTTCACCAAACTCTGCCCAAGCACCAAGGGTTTTCATTTTTGTTTATTTTTATCGCTGCTTGGCGCTTTCACCCAGCCCGTCCTCTTCATCCTCCTCCAACAATAAATAACCCTGACAGGTGCACGGATTCCAGCGCCCGGCTCGTCTGATGTTTGCCAAGAGGAATTCCAGCAATTTTGGAAGGCCAGGACACCTGTGCTGCTTAGCAAACGGTCGGCGACTACAGCGCTGGAAATAGCGCCGGCAGCTACGTAGTGCCGGGATAACACCCAGTTTGTAGTGCGTGCAGTTACTTCTCCTCTTTTGAAATGCTGCTGATGCTCAGAGAAGCCTTGCAGGTGGATATCGGAGCCTATTCCTTTTTTTTAACTCCTTCCTTCGAGGTGTGGTGTCCTTGGTTAGCTCTAGGGAGGGCTTCCTAGCCGACAGTGTTAGCAGTCAACCACACTTTAAAAATAGCTTTTTGCCATCAACTGGAAATAGATGTCCCCAGGGATCCTTAACTCTTTCTTTCCCACAACTATTCAGATGAGAAAGAGCATCACTTCCCTTTGGGATTCCTTGAYAAACATGATGTTTAACTTGTGTCACCACCAGCACTTAGCAATAGAAAACTTTCTCTTATGGACACTTCATATTAAAGGCAAATTTGCCAGGGGAAATTTCTCATGCAGAGCAGAAGAACTGCAGAATAACAATAATATAATAGTAAAATAAATCCCAGCAAACATTAGATTACAACCTTCTCTATATGGAGAGATTGTATAAATAAGAAAAATGAAGAGTATGTAGATCTATAATAGCATAAAAATATGCCCTGAAACTCTGTTTAAGGTGTGTGTCGGGATCAAGCCTAAACCGACATGCTGTGTCCTCAGGGCTCCCGCTTTTCTCAGAGCTCAGGGCCAGCTCTTAGTCACCGGCATTCCCAGGTCCTGTTCTGGCTTTTCCCTCCTTCCCAAGATAGCCCTTCCTATCAGGTTTAAATATGTTAAGTGTTTAAATGCACAGTCCTGCATTAGGCCATTTGCAAACACCTTTGCAAACAGTGTTTTATTCRGGCCAATCTACCAAAAAATACAGATTATTCTGCATCCATGGCCACTCCTATTTATTGCTAATTAGCCTTCCTCATACCTTCATGTTTCTGCAAGTTCAGGCAATGCTGACATTATGTTTTCTTTGAGCTCCTAATATACTGAATAGGGCAGTGCTGAATAGCTTTTTTTGGGATCACATATAAGAAATAAACCCAATTTGTTAGTAGTTCCCTATTTACAATGACATGTTGATATTTCTATTAGTCAGCTTTACAGTTCATGCCACAGAGGTAATACTGATTCTCTGCTATTCTGGATTAGCCAGTGTTTTGCAGTATTAAATAAAAAACCCTATGTCTATTATAACCACATCATTCTCTTTATAGAGGAATACCTGGAAGAAATACAGTGATAACTTGGACCACTATCTTAAAAGAAATATCTTAAAAGAATATGCATTATATATGGGTTCAAAGAAAGCAAAATGATTTTTTGCCCTTCTGAATCCCTTACATGCATCCTTYAATTCCTTCTGGAGAAATAGGGTAATGTAGATGAGAGTTACCTGTATGCCATCCTGGAAATATTGAGAGAGAGACTTATTTTCTACTTATGCAACTGAAGAAAACCTTGGGATCAAAAGATATAATATGATTGCTCTCATGATGAGGGAATTGGGGGAAAAATTCTGGCGGAGGATGATTGAGAGGCATGAGAGTGCTGCCATAATTGATTTGCGAGACCAATGCAGTATTTTGGTCAAGTTTTAGTTAGTCACATTTTCTTGTGTATAGCAATTTAAGTCCAAAAAATTGGCAATAAATAACAAAAAATTACCTGAGATTTTAAAGACACAATGGTGTCTTCAAGTTCCTGTCTCATAGATGCTGGCATCAAGCCCTTGAGTTTGGTTTCATACTCCTGTCGTATATGGGTCATCTGAAACGGAACAAAACAGTAAAATGCAGGTGGCCAGTCTAAGAGACAGCAGAGGAATTTTTTTTTTCTTCTTTTTCCTGATTTGGAGTCTCAAGAAAATACAAAATTGGGTAAGACTACGTAATAGCATAGAGAAAGGAAGATCCAACAGGCTATCACATAGAAGACAATCTATGAAAACAGGTGCTCAGGACATTTACTTCACRTCAAGAAATAACTCGAAAAGCACATAAATATTCAACAGACATTTAAAGACGTTATTCAATATTCATTAAGTCAACAGCAATGCTCCTGTTGTCTTCAACCGGCACTGCATCAGGACCTTTAAAGAATAAAGTGTTTTGCAATTTCAGCAGGAAATTACTCAGAGGAGGAGGAAAGAATTGCTTCAAAGTTTTCAAAAAATAAGTTGAACATGTAAAGATCAAGGTGAAGGGGATTTAAACCATTTCAGGTGGCATTTCTGACATATATATATGCTGCAGCATCTTTAGTATCTTGGAAAAAACCTCCATTTTCTACTCCTATGTACTTGGAAGATAGTTATACTACTTAAAGTTTACCAACAATAATAATGATTTTCTAATTATTTGTATATTTTTTCCTGTCTTCTTGGTTACTTAAACAACCCCTTGCTCCAATTCAACAAGAAACAAAAATCACCCCCAGCCTCCATGCCAGGCTCTCCATTGCACCTTCCCCCGAGCTGCAGTAAGTGGGCAGGAGTATCCAAAACCCAGGCGTGCACCTTGGAAAGCCAGCAGAACCTCTTGTCAGTCACAGGAGCACATTTTAATGATCCTGGAGAATAAACATGCAAAAGCTTCCAACCTTCTGCATGGACCCGAATCGACATTAGGCATCACTCGGGGTGCACTGATTAGGAAACCAGACCTCCGAGACGTAGGACACATTCCTGTTTGCAGCTGAGGAAGTGGACAAACAGACTAAACAAAGTGCTTGAAGGCTGTTGCATTCCAGACCGAGGTATCTCGTGCAGCATCGTGCACTCGGAATTTGCACGTAAAAAGGAGACATCATGTTAGCTTGTTTTAAGTCACAGCTCTGGGACTTTCAACAAAAAGGTTCCAGTATTTTAGGCATGTTACAAGGTCAGACACTCATGCAAAAATGATTACTTCTAAAGGGCTTTTTAGTCTGTAAACTTATTTAACAGATGTGAGTAAATAGGACTGTTACAAAGTGGTGTTAAGTAAAGATACTGGGCTTGGGTTCGGGGTTCATATCTCCCAGTGCGGCTCTTGACTCGGAAAAAGTCCCGAGATTCTCACTCAGCTCCGTCCACAGCTCCAAATGACTTGGACATCTTATTACTTCATTGAATCAGGGCCTTATATCTATACTATACAACTAAAATATGAAAGGGACTCAGATCAATATAAAAGGGATCAGATTAACTTGTAAAATGACATCTAACCTTCAAACTGAGTTTTCTTTTTTTCTAATGTATTTCCATTCAACACCATTTTGTCCTAGTTATACTTCAGTTACAAAACTGCAGAAATCTACCGTTGTGACCACAAAGCAAAAACCCAGGCTTGCATTTGACAAAGCAGCCGGGAGTTTTCAGTTCCAGCTCCTATCAGGGCAACACATGGCAACAAAACACAAAGTTCACCAAAAGATGGGCCAAAATTACCATCTTCTGCAAAGAGCAGGTCAAGCCAAGATAGGCATTATGCACAATTATTGATACAAAAGGAATAAAGCAATCTGACGAAACTTTAGGAAAGTTCTCTGAGTCATTCCAACACTCGGAAGACCTCTCCAAATCTCTACACAAAGAGGCAATTAGAGGCTTTCCTTGTGAGCTRCAAGTAAGTGATGCCACTCTGTGTGCATAAAGAAATAACAGGAAAAAAATGGGGAGACAGGAAATCTTGTTTGAACTCAGCCTATATATGCGTCAGTGATCAAATTTTTTTTTTTTTTGAGTTACTCTGTGAAATTTATGCTACTATTTGTATAAAGGCTTTCAAAGTTATGCATAGGTACTTTGCCAGCATAAATATTTTTTAAGCCAACAGCTTATTTGGGCGGGSACCTCGATGCAGCAGAAATGTATATTTCAGTTAATTCAATATGTGGTGCATTTGTCCTTGGCGAGATAGGAGCAGAGGTGGGCAGGGAATGTTTTAATTTTCGCAACTTTGTAAAATCTTGTAAAACTTTCGTAAAAACAAATTTATGTAAAAAATAAAAATAAAAAATAAAATAAAATAAAATAAAATAAAATAAATAAAATAAATAAAATAAAATATAAAATAAAATAAAATAAAATAAAATAAAATAAAATAAAATAAAATAAAATAAAATAAAATAAAATAGGTATTTTGCACATTAGAGGCCATGGATGATACGAATCCACCCCTAGCTCCCCAGCAAAAGCAAAAGCAGCAGCAGGGAAATTCCCCCACGTAGGTGGAGGCTGCAAAGGGCTCCGTGGCCACGGAGTTCATGGGCAGGAGGCTGTGGCCGACCTCCAGCATCACCAGAGCTGCAAAGGCGCCACGACCGCAGCGCAGCGCGTGCCTCCGCACCCCTCATTATAACTTCTCCTAGAGGAAAGTAAAGCAAGGCTCATTCCCAATTAGCCCCAAACTATAACACAGCCCGGTGAGGGCAATAATTACGTTTTAATTGTGCAACAGCCCTCTTGCAACGCGGCCGCTGCTGCTTCCAGTTTAATCTGCGAGTGTCCTCCCAGTCCCGCTGTCGCAACGCGGTCGCGGTTGCTATTAGCTCTGCAAGCCAGCGCGAGGATTGCTCCCTGTTAATGAAGGTGCTTCTCGGAAAGGCGGGAAGAAATAGGTACTTTGCTTCAGTGTGCAGTTGCTTATTACCATGTTGGCTGGAAAAAGAGAAAATGAGAAGGAGCCCTGGTAGCCCGAGTGCTGAATGGGGCTCGTTTCAGAGAGAAGTCTTTTCTTGCAGTGAAAACTCATCTCCGGGATCCAACTGCCCTCGGTGTGTTTGCTGGATAACTTTTGGAAATGGCACTACTTTCAAGCGGGCTCATTAATAATTGCATCACAATAAGATGAAAATAAGGTCCCAGCTGTTTCCTGTCCTATTGTGATAAACAACACGCTGATATTTTTGGCCGGAATTACTGTCAAGGTTTATTGACCCAGGAGATTCAAATAGTTCATAGCGAAAATCTAAATTATTTCTTATGACTGAAAAATAAAATGTAGTGGGCTAATATATACTAATTCTAATGGGAGAAGCTTTTTATTTTTTAACATTTTTGATCAATGAAAGGTAGGCCTGCTGAGATTGGGTTTTTTTGCCTTAAAGGCATTTTTAGGTTTTTTTTTATAGCCTCAAGCAGCCTCCTCATGATCCACAAATGCTGTGTCTCCTCTTGCACCCTTGAGAGATGTTTAAAATTGCAATTCTGCAGCCCTTGGGAGGCCTCTAGTCTGCTGCATGAGGACAGCTCTATTTCATTTACTGTTGTGTTCATTTTCCTTTGGTCATGAGATTTTTTATTTTTTTTTTTTTTTTCATTTTGGTGAGTTCATTTGATCCAGAACCCCACCAGGAAGGTTTTATAGGTTTTACTATTAAGCTGCCACATTGGTCTCTGTTTATGCAGCTTGGTGCCCAGCATAGGAGGTTTGCAGTTCTACCATCAATCACCCTTGGCGTCAGCAGAAACAACCTGAAACTGCAGTTGCACTTGTGCTTCAGCCTGTCGCATGGCTAGAAACAGGAGAGACAAACTACTCACTAACTASACAAAAGTTATACAACACAACAGCTGATAGGTTATGATGGCAGGGTCTACACAGACGCCTTGTCCTCGTTGGTCATAAGTCCATCTTGAAAGGTGGAAGAGTTTGCTTTGGATGCTCAGCAGAGAAATGTTCAAAACTAGGCTTTCCTGGCCAAATTTCCGAGCTCGCAGAGTGTTGTAGACACCGACACAGCCTGTAAAGCAGAGGATAYTGTGCTTCTCTCTGGCCTGCCCCTCCAGCCACCACCACCATGTCTCATGAACTGCCCATGGCCAACACTCCCTGTCCATCTTCCAAGAAATCCTTTGGTCCCTGTTTATCACTGAGATCTCACCAGCCCTGGGAACTCAGGATTGTGCAAAATCCCCTTTTCCTCCATTTAAAAACCAAAGACAAATGCAATCTTTGTGAGATCTCCCAACTGTAAATTACTTGATTCAAACCAGAGGAGCATAAGGAAAACGCAAATACAACACTGAAGTGCGCGGGGCCAAAGCAAATGAAGGGACCACAGAAGAGCTGCTCCAGTTCCTAGAAAAGAAAAACAACTCTTTTCTTGGAGGGCATGAAGTTAACATTTTGTTTATGTCAGATAATAATCAACAGGCAGTTCACTTAAGTAAGGTTTTGCGGTTCTTTAGTATCTTAATTTCTGCTTGTAATATTTGTGAGGCATAATAACTACAAGTGTGCCATGAAATGCAAGGAGGGTGACGAAAAGGCGTAATTAAGATCTTTTAATTATTATTGAATTTTCTTCACAATCCAAGGGAGTAAGATGAGATAACTAATTTCCTGTCTCTCGAATCCTGTCCTGAATTAATCAAACAACGAGGTGTGGCTTAAAAAGATGCTATGATGCTGCTCAAAAGCAAAGTCTTTTAAAAAACTGGCATGAACATGAGAAATGTTGTGATAACTCTGAGGACAGGGCAGGGTACCCAAAGGGCAAAAATAACTCCTTCAGTCATAGGCAAATCATTTAATCTCAGGTGAAATTCTTGTCCTCTCTAAAAGACGGTGATGATGATGATGATGATGATGATAATAATAATAATAAAAATATATTGCCCAGGTCAGCTCCGCTCAGGTGATGGGCAGTGTTCAGGCAAGCACAGGACGAACAATTATGGTGCCATCCCAATGGAAACGAAAGCAAATATCAAGGAAAATCCAAACATCGACCCCGAGGATGTCAAACGGATGATTAATCCCATCTTGTCTGTGTCCTCCCTA